TGGGTTTAAGGATTTTACATGCCGTTGGATTGTGAGCAAGGTAATATTCATGAATGAATTCATGGTACCTATTAGCTGATCTTGATTTCTGAGGCGGGAAGTACAGTGTCTGCACTCTGAAGAATGGGTGGGAATGTTAAAATTCAAAGGGATGTCTGAATTGTAATGTCTCCACACTATTGGCAAGACAACTACTGAAAGAATGAATGATGACAAATGTTTCCTTTTGTTGGGTTACCTTACCTTATCGTGTGCGTGTGTTTGTATGTATGTGTATGAATGTATATGTATGTATGTTTGTATATATATATTTATATATATATATATATATATATATATATATATATATATATATATATATATATATATATATATATAATATATATATAATATATATATATATATATATATATATATATATATATATATATATATATATATATATATATATATATATACAACACACATATATATATATATATATATATATATATATATATATATATATATATATATATATATATATATATATATATATATATATATATATATATATTAACACTGGCTATCTCCCACCAAGGCAGGGTGACCCGAAAAAGAAGAAACGAAAGCTTTTCTTCTTTTTACATTTAGTAATTTATACAGGAGAAGGTGTTACTAGCCCCTTGTTCCTGTCATTTTTATCGCCTCTTACAACACGCATGGCTTATGGAGGAAGGATTCTTCTCCACTTCCTCGTGGAAGTATACGCATTTGTATGTATATATGTATGTATGTATGTATGTATGTATGTATGTATGTATGTATGTATGTATGTATGTATGTATGTATGTATGTATGTATTAATTATTATATAATATATATATATATATATATATATATATATATATATATATATATATATATATATATATATATAGGCTACAGGATGTACATGTTTATAGAGGGGCAACTGATATGTCAGATCATTATTTAGTTGTAGCTACAGTTAGAGTAGGAGGTAGATGGGAAAAGAGGAAGGTGCCAACAACAAGTAAGAGGGAGGTGAAAGTGTATAAACTAAGGGAGGAGGAAGTTCGGGCGAGATATAAGCGACTATTGGCAGAAAGGTGGGCTAGTGCAAAGATGAGTAGTGGGGGGGTTGAAGAGGGTTGGAATAGTTTTAAAAATGCAGTATTAGAATGTGGGGCAGAAGTTTGTGGTTATAGGAGGGTGGGGGAAGAGGAAAGAGGAGTGATTGGTGGAATGATGAAGTAAAGGGTGTGATAAAAGAGAAAAAGGTAGCTTACGAGAGGTTTTTACAAAGCAGAAGTGTTATAAGAAGAGCAGAGTATATGGAGAGTAAAAGAAAGGTGAAGAGAGTGGTGAGAGAGTGCAAAAGGAGAGCAGATGAGAGTGGGAGAGGCACTGTCAAGAAATTTTAATGAAAATAAGAAAAAAATTTGGAGTGAGTTAAACAAGTTAAGAAAGCCTAGGGAAAGTATGGATTTGTCCGTTAAAAACAGAGTAGGGGAGTTAGTAGATGGGGAGAGGGAGGTATTAGGTAGATGGCGAGAATATTTTGAGGAACTTTTAAATGTTGAGGAAGAAAGGGAGGCGGTAATTTCATGCACTGGCCAGGGAGGTATACCATCTTTTAGGAGTGAAGAAGAGCAGAATGTGTGGTGGAGGTACGTGAGGCATTACGTAGAATGAAAGGGGGGTAAAGCAGCTGGAACTGATGGGATCATGACAGAAATGTTAAAAGCAGGGGGGGATATAGTGTTGGAGTGGTTGGTACTTTTGTTTAATAAATGTATGAAAGAGGGGAAGGTACCTAGGGATTGGCGGAGAGCATGTATAGTCCCTTTATATAAAGGGAAAGGGGACAAAAGAGATTGTAAAAATTATAGAGGAATAAGTTTACTGAGTATACCAGGAAAAGTATACGGTAGAGTTATAATTGAAAGAATTAGAGGTAAGACAGAATGTAGAATTGCGGATGAGCAAGGAGGCTTCAGAGTGGGTAGGGGATGTGTAGATCAAGTGTTTACATTGAAGCATATATGTGAACAGTATTTAGATAAAGGTAGGGAAGTTTTTATTGCATTTATGGATTTAGAAAAGGCATATGATAGAGTGGATAGAGGAGCAATGTGGCAGATGTTGCAAGTTTATGGAATAGGTGGTAAGTTATTAAATGCTGTAAAGAGCTTTTATGAGGATAGTGAGGCTCAGGTTAGGGTGTGTAGAAGAGAGGGAGAATACTTCCCGGTAAAAATAGGTCTTAGACAGGGATGTGTAATGTCACCATGGTTGTTTAATATATTTATAGATGGGGTTGTAAAAGAAGTAAATGCTAGGGTGTTCGGGAGAGGGGTGGGATTAAATTATGGGGAATCAAATTCAAAATGGGAATTGACACAGTTACTTTTTGCTGATGATACTGTGCTTATGGGAGATTCTAAAGAAAAACTGCAAAGGTTAGTGGATGAGTTTGAGAATGTGTGTAAAGGTAGAAAGTTGAAAGTGAACATAGAAAAGAGTAAGGTAATGAGGGTATCAAATGATTTAGATAAAGAAAAATTGGATATCAAATTGGGGAGGAGGAGTATGGAAGAAGTGAATGTTTTCAGATACTTGGGAGTTGACGTGTCGGCGGATGGATTTATGAAGGATGAGGTTAATCATAGAATTGATGAGGGAAAAAAGGTGAGTGGTGCGTTGAGGTATATGTGGAGTCAAAAAAACGTTATCTATGGAGGCAAAGAAGGGAATGTATGAAAGTATAGTAGTACCAACACTCTTATATGGATGTGAAGCTTGGGTGGTAAATGCAGCAGCGAGGAGACGGTTGGAGGCAGTGGAGATGTCCTGTCTAAGGGCAATGTGTGGTGTAAATATTATGCAGAAAATTCGGAGTGTGGAAATTAGTAGGTGTGGAGTTAATAAAAGCATTAGTCAGGGCAGAAGAGGGGTTGTTGAGGTGGTTTGGTCATTTAGAGAGAATGGATCAAAGTAGAATGACATGGAAAGCATATAAATCTATAGGGGAAGGAAAGAGGGGTAGGGGTCGTCCTCGAAAGGGTTGGAAAGAGGGGGTAAAGGATGTTTTGTGGGCGAGGGGCTTGGACTTCCAGCAAGCGTGCATGAGCGTGTTAGATAGAAGTGAATGGAGACGAATGATACTTGGGACCTGACGATCTGTTGGAGTGTGAGCAGGGTAATATTTAGTGAAGGGATTCAGGGAAACCGGTTATTTTCTTATAGTCGGACTTGAGTCCTGGAAATGGGAAGTACAATGCCTGCACTTTAAAGGAGGGGTTTGGGATATTAGCAGTTTGGAGGGATATGTTGTGTATCTTTATACGTATATGCTTCTAAACTGTTGTATTCTGAGCTTCTCTGCAAAAGCAGTGATAATGTGTGAGTGTGGTGAAAGTGTTGAATGATGATGAAAGTATTTTCTTTTTGGGGATTTTCTTTCTTTTTTGGATCACCTGCCTCGGTGGGAGACGACCAACTTGTTGAAATATATATATATATATTATATATATATATATATATTATATATATATATATATATATATATATATATATATATATATATATATATTATATATTATAATTATATATATATATATATATATATATATATATATATATATATATATATTTATTATATATTTATTCGTGATTTCTCACATTATTAAGGAAAACTGTGAGGAATCACGAAGGCGTTTGGAATTTCACTATTATTCACTGGTTATTTTGTATATTGTGATATCGCTTGTTTACCGTGATCTTATTACACACACATATATACACACGGGGCCAGGAGCTATTACTCGACCCCTGCAACCAGTTGAGTACAGACGCACACACAAATACACGGGGGCCAGGAGCTATGACTCGACCCCTGCAACCATTTTTATTTATATATAATTAGAATAACATTACTCACGTCATATATATGCTAATAAAATTTTGTTTGTAAGGCTACTTCTTAGAAGTTTATTTGTTTGTAGTGTGAGTTTGTATTCTGTGAAACGTGTTTCCAAGTGACGTCAGTATTGAACTTTCCTGCTCTTTGATCGTACGTTTGTTGATACTATCCAGAATTCCTTTGTAGTGTGCGTGTCGACTTTACAAAAACAGATCATTCAAAAGGGTGTTTTAAATCCTAGCGATTAGGCTATGATCCGAGGAAATGGAGTAACGTTTCTCTTTTTCGGATCAATCCTGATTATCTCCTGTTCTCAAGGTGCTGTATGATCCTAACGGGTTTAGCACTTCCCTACAATAATAATATTCTCAGCAACACCTAATTTTTTGTTAAATAGTAAACAAAATTACTATTTGTATGTCTTAATTTTAAGGCTGTCTTCCATTATAGCCTTATTTGAATGTCTCTTAGTATCACTGAGCAATGTGTTACATAAAACTTTAATAGTATCTACTCTTCAAATTTTCTGTATTAATTACAATTCTGTCCGCAGTGGTGTACATGCTGTGACTTATGACCCCTCAAGGAAGGTTCCTTGATGTTGGTGAGGGGCTCTTGATTTAGGGAATTAAGAGCTGTGCTCCAGTTCCCCGAATTAAGCCTGAATGCCTTCCACATCCCCCCCACGCGCTGTATAATCCTCCGGGTTTAGCGCTTCCCCTTGATTATAATAATAATAATGTGACTTATGAGCTGTACATTAGTACTGTACTTATAATGTCACTCAGTGTATTGGAGTATTTTGTAAATAAAGACCCAGGATACTATTTATTTTAGTTAAATAGGAGTAACAGGTGTAGAGCTTTCACCATATATTTCGCTCAGTCCAGGAATCGAATCAAGGTCCTTTCTTTCATGAGTAGGCAGGTTTTTATTTAGGTTTGCGTACATAACGTACAAATAAAAATAAATATAATTGTCTTGTGGACACAAAAATTTTATGAGTATATAGAGTACATTATTTAGACTTAAACTAGGATAACCCATTAAAGTTAATAAACGCTGTAAATCTTACCTTTGACCCGGAGGCTGACTGCTGTGTGCTGGACGCTGCTATAGATGTACTCAGTTGGAGAAGACCTGACGTACTTGTGTTCTGCAAGCTCTGTGCATATGTTCTACACCAACACAATAATAATACCACCAAACACAACCAATTGACTTTGCCTGTCATACTCTCTTAATGCAAAATACTATATTAAAAATAAAAGAGATTTATATTTTTGAAGGGCTTAAGGCTAAAGAATTTGTGGAAAAGGCTTAGGATTTAAGTGTGTGTGTCGGGCGTGTGAAGGAAGGGCAGTTCACGTGTAGATGAGAGGAGCTTGCTAGCTCAGCGCCAACACCATACTGACTGAGTCGACCTCTAAGCCATGTACAGCCAGACATGCCCACCAGGATGCAATGGATGCCACTATCTTCTCGTACTACTCTGCATTAATTATCTCATGATTTCACTAATATCTAGTGTCAGGTAAAGCCCTATCCAACTTCCATGTTTTTATAATATCATGCTGTATATCAAGTGAGCCTCTCAATCATTCTATTGATATTTGTATACAAACATCTCTGTGATGAAATTTTATACGTGCTCTTGCCATACGGTGGGTTTGATCTGGTTCTTTATACCATATATTCAGATGACACTCATGACTATTTTGATTATATTTACTTGAATTTTCTGATTTGCCCTATGCGTCACTCAGTCTTTTCAAGCACCGCTGGGTCTGGCCAGTTACTGGATAGGTGACCGACCTTATTTGACACAGCTTTGCCCTGGGCTAATATGGACACTGATAAGGTAATTAATTGAATTCTTTTCCCCAAACTGGTATGTCCTCTAATGTATTGAGACGTACGGGCAATAATGAGGCTATGGAAGACAATTCATGACATGTGTAGCCATTATGCTACTGTTAGGTATGGGGATAAAATGTTTTGATAAAACAAAAATTTGGAGATCCCTTGCATTACTTAAGACTAGAAGTTAGCCAGGCAGAGCAGTGAGTGCCATACATTATTAAAAGAAGTTTCACTAAAAGCCTCACATATGACTCACACAGAATGACACATCGTCTACTGTAGGCTATCTATTGTAAAGACAGACCGTTATGTAGACCGACATTTTGCTTTTATTCTATTTTCTTGATTTAATTAAATAAAGTAATCCTGGTGTTCCAAATTGAGTTTAAGAATGCACGATTTAGAATTAGCTGAAGAAAAAAATTATAACATAATTTCTATAGCTACAAAGTGTATTATCCAAGGAACGTTATTAATAAGTGCATCTAGGAATTTAGAAAACTTTTAATAATGGTAACGGCAGTGAATTAAAATTACCATATCAATTTTTTTGTCAGCGGATATTATGAAAGATTTTAGAATTAAATGTTGCTTTACAGCATGAATGTTGTTAGTAATACACTTATAAAGAAGAACACTAGCAAAAATTATAAGATCTGCATAGGTCAGGAATCCATGCTACTACTCCGAACGTCTATATTTGCTGTGAGTCAAGACCGTCAACAAAACGCGGTGGCACTAAACTGTGAACATTGGTTTGTGGTATGTCATCTTCCTCAGTATTCTCGCCAGTTCCCTATTTTCTGCTGTCTCATGTCTGTATCAACAACTCATTACGATTGTTAGCAGATCATAAATTTGTAAATGGTTCATTAGCAATGTAATTGCTTAGCTATCAAAACACTAAACGCCCAGTCTCGTGTGCCTCTGTAATCTTATAACCACCGTCCGTAGGATGGGTATGGTGTACATAATTTAACTCAACAAAATTATCTTCTGTCTCTATGTACGACTGCATTTAGCTCCATAGGGCTATTATAACATTATTGCGTTTAACGCTGGAGGTTACCTGGAGGTTATTCCGGGGATCAACGCCCCCGCGGCCCGGTCCATGACCAGGCCTCCCGATGGATCAGGGCCTGATCAACTAGGCTGTTACTGCTGGCCGCACGCAGTCCAACGTACGAGCCACGGCCCGGCTGATCCGGCACTGACTTTAGGTATCTGTCCAGCTCTCTCTTGAAGGCAGCCAGGGGTTTATTGGCAATTCCCCTAATGCTTGATGGGAGGCTGTTAAAGTTTTGGGCCCCGGACACTTATGGTGTTTTCCCTTAGTGTACCAATGGCGCCCCTACTTTTTATTGGGGGCATTTTGCATCGCCTGCCCAGTCTTTTACTTTCGTAGGGAGTGATTTCTGTGTGCAGATTTGGGACCATTCCTTCCAAGATTTTCCAAGTGTAGATTATGATATCTCTCCCTCCTGCGTTCCAACGAGTACAAGTCAAGTGCTTCCAAGCGTTCCCAGTAGTTAAGGTGCTTGACAGAACTTATACGTGCAGTAAAGGATCTCTGTACACTCTCTAGATCTGCGATTTCACCTGCTTTGAATGGAGATGTTAATGTACAGCAGTATTCCAGCCTAGAGAGAACAAGTGATTTGAAAAGGATCATCATGGGCTTGGCATCTCTCGTTTTGAAAGTTCTCATTATCCATCCTATCATTTTCTTTGCACGTTCGATTGTGGCACTGTTGTGATCCTTGAAAGTGAGATCCTCAGACATTACTACTCCCAGGTCCCTTACATTAGTTTTCCGCTCTATTGTATGGCCGGAGTCAGTAGTATACTCTGTTCTAGTTATTATCTCCTCCAGTTTTCCATAACGGAGTAGTTGGAATTTGTCCTCATTGAACATCATATTGTTTACCGTTGCCCATTGGAAAACTTTGTTTATATCTTCTTGGAGATTAACCGCGTCCTCAGCAGATGACAGCCTCATGCAGATCCTAGTATCATCCGCAAAGGATGATACGGTGCTGTGGTGTATATCTCTGTTTATGTCTGATATGAGGATAAGGAATAAGATGGGGCCCGTACTGTGCCTTGTGGAACAGAGCTCTTCACTATGGCAACCTCCGATTTAACTCTGTTGACCACTACTCTTTGTGTTCGATTTGTTAGGAAGTTGAAGATCCATCTCCCCACTTTCCCAGTTATTCCTTTAGCACGTATTTTATGGGCTATTACGCCATGATCGCATTTGTCAAATGCTTTTGCAAAGTCTGTGTATATTACATCTGCATTCTGATTTTCTTCCAGTGCATCCAAGGCCATGTCATAGTGATCCAGTAGTTGTGAGAGGCAGGAGCGACCTGCCCTGAACCCATGTTGCCCTGGATTGTGCAGATTTTGGGAATCCAGGTGATTTGCAATCCTGCTTCTTAGCACTCTTTCAAAGATTTTTATGATGTGGGACGTCAGAGCTATTGGTCTATAGTTCTTAGCTAATGCTTTGCTGCCACCTTTATGGAGTGGGGCTATATCCGTTGTTTTAAGTGACTGTGGAATTTCACCCATGTCCAAGCTCCTCCTCCATAGTGTACTTAGGGCACGCGAGAGGGGTTTCTTGCAGTTCTTAATGAAAACAGAGTTCCACGAGTCTGGGCCCGGGGCTGAGTGCATAGGCATGTTGTCAATGGCTTTTTCGAAATCTATCGGAGTTAGGGTAATGTCGGAAATCTGGCATACATTTATGGAGTTTTGAGGCTCATTCATGAAGAAATCATTTGGGTCGTCGATCCTCAGACCGATTAGTGGTTCACTAAACACAGAGTCGTACTGGGATTTCAATATTTCACTCATTTCCTTGTTGTCATCTGTGTAAGTCCCATCCTGTCTGAGTAAGGGCTCGATACTAGATGTGGTATTTGCCTTGTTTTTGGCATATGAAAAGAAATATTTTGAATTTCTTTCAATTTCACTAATAGCTTTAAGCTCCTCCTGCCTCTCCTGGTTCCTGTAAGAGTCATTTAGCTTAAGGAGGGTTATTAACCCAAGATAACCCACGCAAGCCAAACAGGGTGGCTTATTTCCTTTGGTGTCCTCCAGCGCTCTTCCCTAGAATGTTATCAGCAGCAGTCATCGAACTTCTACGTATTTATATACTACTAGGTGACGTGGGACAGCAAGTCTACGAAGACTTGCTCATAGACTCGCCCACGAATCGAACCTCGGTCCTGTTGAGCCGAATGCTCTACCAGAGTTACAAGACAGCTAAAGCTTGTAGTAGGAGAATACATCTATACACTCGGTGCTTTTTGGCCTCTTGATATATATATGAGGCTGGCTAAAACAACACGGGTTCGATCCCCCGGCTAGTCGCACTACTGTTATTGATTAAATACCATTTAGCAAGAATTCATTTAAAATTAAGACCTTTCTAAACTTTTCGTTTAAACATATATTTTTTCACTTACGTTAATGTAAAAATTAATAATTTTGTACCGAAAGAACCTTAGAAAACTTACCTAATCTTATTATAACAAGCGCAATTTAGCCTAATCCAACTAAATATATTTAATATAAATTTACAATAATTTAATAATAGACAAGCACAATGAAATATATATTTTTCGTTAGGTTCAGAATAATTTTTGCGAAATTACTGCATACATAGATTTTCGCTTGCCTTATTCGGAAAGAGCGTTGCTATTTAAGCAACTTTAAAAGTGTTATAATAAATTAAAGCTAGCCTACAGAAGCAGTCAACAGTTTTATTAGGTTATTTACGATAACATTAGACTCATAGACCTTAAGAAATATGTTCAAGAAATATATTCAAGGCGGCCAAAATATACTGTTGTTATTATGGAAGATTCGCTAAGAAAAAATCATTAAATAAATGTAGAATGTAAATTTATATATGAGTATTTACATCGCTGACGATAGATAGCCAACGATATCCTACAATACACGACATGTGCTTTTTGTGTCATGTTTGTGGCTTTATTACTAAACCTTATTTAATAATGACTTGCGCTCAGTGCTGTCTGGGAACCTTTTATTTATTGTTGTAAGTGATTGACAGCTCTCTTCCCTCATTCCTCTGGAGAATTTATTCAGGTTAGTAATTCCGGTTATGCTAGAACGGAACCTTTGAAGCTGCCGTAGTTGAAGAACCTTTAATGGAATACTTGACGATATCTTCATTGTCAGCTCAGGCTGACACATTCCAACACCTTGTATGAGTCCTGTTCTGTGTGATGGAATATGACAGGGAAACAGTTTTTGTTCCCACTGTGAAATTATAATGTAAAATAGGGGTAGCAGCGGACTGCTAAATAGTACACAACAGGTTACGGGCCCGGATGTAATATTCCCGACTGATGTCAGATTTTCTTCTAATTTTTTATTATAGAGTGACCTGCTGTCATTGAATTCACTGACACTGAAAGGGACAAGAGCTATATTCTGATTCGTGTCGAGGTAACTGGTGGAGAAGTGTCTCAATAAAAGCTTCTGCAACGTGTCTTTCTTCACTGTTGTCGGCACTGCGGAATTTAAGTCCTCCTTGGATCAAGAGCCTTTTGCCAACATTAAGACATG